TAGCGATCACATGTATTTTAAAAATCACAAACTTTTTAAAACCATAAAACAACTTATGTTTTCATCTCTAATCAATAGTTATAAACGGCTCCGTATTTTAACTGAGGGTCGGTAGGGGCAGGTGTTTAGATTGAATTGCCAACAGTTGCCAATAAGTTTAATTACGTGTACAATACTATATATTCTGTACTTAAAATTAACGCATTATTCACTATGGATTTAACAAAAAAGCCATTTATTATAAACAAAACTCAAGGCTTTCAAATGAATTAAAAAGTTTTTAAATGTAAAAATTGTAAAATATAAACATTTTCAACAATTCTGTTAACAAATACACAATGCATTGAAATACAATGATAAAAGTGCTTATAAGTGATGTGAACAACAAAGTAACTAATTAAATGATATTTTATAATAAAATCATTCAAAATAGGTGTCAATTTGTTAGTGATTTTGGTCAGCATTGGGTTCATTGCCTTCATAGTAATGGTCGTCTTATTAATGAAATATCGCTCAAAGAAATCGAAGAAAAAGAATAGCATTTGTGAGGAATCGGTTGAGTCCGGGGTCTTATCGCCCAATACTAAACGTATGAAACTGTGAGTTCACTACAAATGGGTATTAAATTCAAATAAAAAATAATATATGCTTTACTTAAAAAGAATAGCATTTGTGAGGAATCGGTTGAGTCCGGGGTCTTATCGCCCAATACTAAACGTATGAAACTGTGAGTTCACTACAAATGGGTATTAAATTCAAATAAAAAATAATATATGCTTTACTTTATAATTAATTTATAATTTATAATTAATTAATTTCTTATACTAAAATTTATATTATTTTTCAATTATACACAGGAAAAATAACCATTAAAATTAGAATCCCCTAAGTTATATTATATTATATGCTTTTAATATTAAATCTAGTATTTTGATATAAGTTATAGCAATCCGAATGAATGTGTGAATCAATAATTAATGTCAAAATAAAACATTGTTTCCAAAGGACCAGATCCGAGGCGAAGAGCAGTAGTGATAACTCTGACTCAAGCGATGATGTTTTGTACGAAAAGAACGAGCGATATGTGACGGATAGAGTACAACCTAAACGGCATTCCCTGCGTTCACAGCAATCGGTCTCATCGGTGGACTCGGAGATGGATACCATCCCAACGCTTGTACTGTCGGTCACAACCGATGAAAAGTACGCTTCGGTGGCACTAATCAAAGCCAAAAATCTTCGCCGAAGCGGTTATTCAGCCAATGATAAGCTCATACCGGAAGGAGTGTTCGCCAGAATTTACCCCACGAGTAGATCCGTGACCTCCGAGGGCTCGCATTCAGAGGATGAACCACAGCGACAGACGTGTGATGAGTACTTTGAGACCACTTTGATTAAGTCTAAGAAATCAAAGTTAATTAAATTTAACGACAAAGAGAAGTTTGATGTGTTTAACGACAACTTTCCCATTCGGATCTCGATCTATGAATACGATAAGCAAAGGGTTCGCTACAACATCGGCCACTGTTTCCTAAATATCAACACTCGTGACAATTATCACACCAAACAACTCATTGAATTGAATCTCTATACAACGTTATATAAGGCTAAAAGTGCAGCTCATGCTCAAAAGTAATTCATTTGAAATTCATTGAATAGAAGTTTTGAGAAAGTATCATGATTTATGAGAATTACTAGATCCTATATCCTATTCTACAGTTATTTTATCAAACTGTTTTAATTTATTTTAATGTAATTTAATTTATCACTAAATTATAATTAAAAATTCTGTACAGACAAAAATATCTCTAAATTCGCATCTAATTGTATATTAAATTGTATATTTATTATTACCGTAGGTTTATAGTAAATTATATGATAATAAATATAAACGTTACCAGTGTCATCACATGGTCTGCCGGAACAATAAAATAAGTGTCAAATAAAATTGTTTTTTAATAAATCACAAAACAGTAGAAAACATAAAATAAGAAACAACAAAATGAAACCATTAAAATATATTTATATTATAAATAAAATACTAAATAAATATTGTAAAGCAAAACTCAAATGATAATGAGTACGAAAAAAGCAAACAATTTAGAGAAACGAAAGGTTTGAGAGATGTTTTGATTATTTCTCTTTCCCGGGTGTTTTACCCGGAGTATCGGCACCTTTAGGGCCAACGGGTCCACTCAAATAGGCGTCTTTCGAATAGAGGGGAGGCCTACTGTATTGCTGTTTATTGCTATCATCGGCCCAATCGGGGTATTGGGGGTTCGGGAGGGCGTGGTACGGGCTTATGCGCGATACGGCTTTAATAATTTGAGGAATGGAAGCATTATTTGAGAGAGCATTGGCGGCATTGGCTCTCTCCAGAAACTCTGTTAATTTAAGACAAAATGAATCAATGATTAGTTGATAATAGAGATCGTTGTGGGCGACAGACCTCTGATGGTTGCGGTGGGGATCGCGAAGTACAGGACTAAGTTGCCGATGAGTTGCAGATAGAAATACATGCCGACCACACGCCCCTCCAGGTTCAGCAATGGGCCGCCGATGTCGTCGAAGGCNGGCGACAGACCTCTGATGGTTGCGGTGGGGATCGCGAAGTACAGGACTAAGTTGCCGATGAGTTGCAGATAGAAATACATGCCGACCACACGCCCCTCCAGGTTCAGCAATGGGCCGCCGATGTCGTCGAAGGCAAAGGAGGCCGTGTGTTGGATGTAATGCTTGGTATCATCGATAAGGGGATACTTTTTGCCAATCTTTGTGATGTCGGCGCCCGTGCGGTCCACGACGCTGACGATGCCTTTGCTGACGGTGTTGTAGTTCCAGGCGCTGCCCATCGCCACCACATCGGAACTAACCGCAGGGGCTTTGCCATCGGTTAGGTTCAGGCCATTGGATGGTTTGAGATCCGCTGCGGCCGTGCTCTTCGCCCGTTGCTTGCGTTTCCGTTTCCTCTTACTTTTGCTCTCGACTTCGTCTCCGCCTTCGCCCTCATCATCATCTGGGATGTGGTCGAAGTCGATGTTATAGTCCTTGACAATGGGAGCCAAGAGCGCCAAATCGAGCTCCGGTTCCTTATAGAGGACACGACAGCGTCCCTCTCCTCNTCCGCCTTCGCCCTCATCATCATCTGGGATGTGGTCGAAGTCGATGTTATAGTCCTTGACAATGGGAGCCAAGAGCGCCAAATCGAGCTCCGGTTCCTTATAGAGGACACGACAGCGTCCCTCTCCTCCATCGCCTTCTTTGCACCGGACGTCCACAATGTCTGCGTTACCCACGGCTCGAGCGGTCGTCAGAATACATCCCTTCAATTTGGGGTAACCGTTGTCTGCGAGTATGAAACCAGAGCTCGTGGTGTGAAGACAATAGACCCGAGAGTTGTAGTTTGATTGAACCAATTGGCGCACAGACACCACTGATCCACACGACGAGGCATAGATTTGCTCCACAGTCTTGTCCGCCAAATAGGCGTACCGGAGACCCAACGGCGCTCTCGACGGCATGTTTGGCCACAAATCCTGTCTTCTATTGTGTTGCAGATAATAGTTGGAGCCATAGATGGAAAGGGAGACCAATAGTGGTGTTCTGTTCATACATTTAAACACATTATAATTGGTTTGAATTGAAATTGAATGCAATTATAAGACAACAGTTGATAATAATATGAATGAGTGGTTAACTGACCGGAGATTGCCTTTCGTGAGCAATGCTCTGAAGAAATACATGTCTTCCAACTCTTAATGAAACCAAAAGCAGATATTAAACTACAATTCAATGGTTTTGTAAAACAAATCAATGACTTCAGTGACAAAAGCTAACGATTTTTGCCATAATTTCGGTAACAGTTTTGTATTCAATGCTTACTGTATTTCAAATGACAATCAATTAAAAAGTCTTTCAGAAAGACTCACAAATCTATTGATTTTTTAAGTATCCGTAATGTATTGTATTAAAAGTTAGACCAAGACAGTAAAATAACAATAATTTATTTTCTTACAGTTTACTCAAATGAATTTATTTACATATAAATTCCTTGTTTAATTTAAATAAATTGTAAAAATATTTAATAAATTTATTTTAGCATGCATTTAATTTTATATATTAAATTTAATAAATTTTAAAAAATAAATTTAAGTAATTAACATGTTATAAAAATCTCAAAGATCTAATTAATTGAATTAATGTCTGAAAAATAGTTTGAACTTAGTAATTACTAATTACTGTAATTGATTTATTATTTAGCATAAAATTGATTTGACATTATAGATTAAAATAACAGACTATAAATCTCTACTTTAATATAAAATAAGAAAAGTTGAAAATAAATTAATTATTAAAATAATTATAATCAAAAACTTTTGGAAGAAGATTTCATAGAACTGGAAACAACTGATTTCCTGCGCCCATTAAACTCATAAATGGACAGTTGGTGCAAAAATATGAATACACCCTACAATAAGATAAAATAAGAAAATGTGGTTAAAACATTTATTATTAAAATGCTGTTATATTTCTAGGTTTACTTGCGATCCAGTCAATACAATGAATATGTATGAGAAGTATTCGTGAAAAAACTCTATATTATAGAGTATGAATGATAGCCAAGTTATTCCCAACAAAAACATAATAAATATAAAACTTATTAATTGTTTGAATTTCTGGTTCCACTTCTCTTTAGACATTCCCAACTTTTTGTGATCTTTCAATATTTTGAACGCAGTCTTAAACGATATATACATTAGAAAACAGTTGCACAGAATTACGCTAACGGCTGGACCTGGATATATCCAATTAAAACCACAATTGAATGAATTAATGTTTTACAAGTTTAATAAAGTCGAAAATTTTATTTAATTACAAACCAATGAGAATAAATATATGACTCGAGTAATGAGATGAAGATATCCAGCAACTAACCAATTGTTAAAAAAATTGCGATAAGATTAATTAGAGACAAATATTATACAAAACTCGTAGAAAACTTACAAATAATGATATCTTTCATCGAAAAATATTTCCCACAGAATATTCTCTTTGATAAAAACGGTGATAATAGAGACAATAAGTATGAGCACAGGTGGGCCATAGCCCATAAGGTACAGATAACGGGCCTTAAATTCCGAGTTGAAACACAAGATCAAGGATTTGTATAAATAGTAGCCCTCCATAAGCATCCAGAAGAATGAGCCCAACAGTGAATACAGAAGTAATGCCGAAGACATTTGACACAACCACTGATTTGTTAACAAAATTGTATTACAAATATTGTATGAATATATAAATAGTAGCCCTCCATAAGCATCCAGAAGAATGAGCCCAACAGTGAATACAGAAGTAATGCCGAAGACATTTGACACAACCACTGATTTGTTAACAAAATTGTATTACAAATATTGTATGAATATATGGATGAGCAAATATATCACCGGAATATTGGTCCTATCCATTCCCAGAACAACCAATAAGTTTGTAATCATTAGACAAATACATAAATTGCTGGTAATTATTGAACGCATTTCATAAAGATTAGCATTTCTAGTGTTGCTAATGCCATGATTTTTGGATCTTATAATCAGATTAATGGTCAGAATTAAGGAGATAATCGATAAAATACTACAGATGTAAGTTAGTAGTGATTTCACTAATGTCTTGCTTTCCCTTCCGTTCACATCCATAAGTGCCGCGAAATTAGTCAAATGTTTGCATTTGCAGACCGTATGCCATAAGTGGGACTCTGTGTCATCCCTAACACATCCAAAGGAACTCCATGTTGAAGTCTGAAAGTCCCAAAAAACACAATCCACTTTATCACCCAATTCTAGTCTCTGTTTGTGCCGAAGTCTGTGTCAACAAAATATGAGATAATTTTAATCTCAAACCTATTATATCATAATTATAATTTATAGTCCTATAAAATATTTGAATTAAAAGTTATATAACATTATATTAAGAAATGCATGTAAGGAATGCACTAACATATCAGTTCATCACATGAGTGAAATACATAAAAATAACTTATTATGGCATAAAATTATGAATCAAATAAGAAACGATTAATAAATTTTACATCCAAAAAGCTATCATAAAATACAGTATTACAAATAAATTAAAGTTATTTTTCTAAATGAACCATGAGCTTATCTGTACTTACGTTATGATGACTTCGTTGTTAAGCTCTATAATCTCTGATTTATTGTTTAAACTGAATGACAGGATATCAGAATTGATTTCGAAATTGTCTTTAATATTTGCCATCAGATATCCATCAATGTTACGAATTATGGCCCCAAAGGCAGTGTTAGTCCGCTCTGTACTCGTGTTTAAGAATTCTGTATTCATTGGCAATACAATCGATGATTGCATAGATTTATTGGTAGGAAAATGCAATTCACAACTACTATTGATATAAAATGAATTGATATAGAAATCATGAGTGGATATCTCAACCGATTTTGTGGACCTATTTTGCTGTAATGATAGGGTATAAGAGGATGACTGAGTGGTGAGCAATATCTTTGAGGCGAGATTAGTCTTCTCCTTAGAGGTTGAGTTAATCCACGCGTACTTCTGGTCCAGAATATGACTAAAAGTGTTGATCACTCCGTGGGTGTAGTTCTTGACGACCACTAAACTGCTGTCGTTTGCGTTCTCCACAAACGACTGCACTTTCGATACGATATCTAAAACTTTGGACAACTTTTCGCTTTCAACGATAGTGTTGTTATTATAAGTCTTTTTGGTGATGGTTTCGATCACATCAATAGCAGTGTCCACGCTATCGATGTCTGTTTTGTCCAATTCCTCCAACCAGTAGTCACAATGAGTCCAATTGGGGCCGTGAGACGAGAACAGTCCGTTTTGCATACATTTCCAGTAGGCGTGACCCGAATCCTCGTGAGGACATTTAACACGTGAACGGCGTCCGATGGGAACGGGTGGCCAGTGTTCAATACCGTACTGGCCATCATATCTGCCATCAATATTACACAATGGCACCGAAATTGTTATCTCTGGAGTGGTCGACGGTGGTGGTAGGGTTGAGGTCATTGTCACTGCAACTGATTCCGTGGTTATAGGGGTCGACACCACAGACTTTGTGTGCAATTCAGTGGTTGAGCTACTAATGGGATCATCGCTAATAATGGTGGTAGGATCTTCAGTGGTACTAGATGAGCTATTAACTAATTCATAGTGCGATGAATCAGAATCGGTGTCAAATTCATAATCAGTTTCTGTAATTGAATGGCAAATTAAAATATTTTTCAGTAAAAAGTTATTTACAGCAAATGAATACCTTTATTATTATCAAACGAATAGCCTATGATTACAGTATTTGCTATAAGTAAGCAAATAATCAAAAACTTAAATAAATCCATTTCTCAA